CTTCAGTATTTTTGTCTTGTTTTCCAGTACAAATATCTAAATATTCTTAAATCAAGATAAAGCTAAATGACTTGAGATATTAAGTATTGTTTTCTGAAAAATGAAGCAAAATAAAGCAAATTTATAAATCAATTAATTTTAAATAAAATATTTAAATATTTAATATTAAATAAATAAATACATTTTAAAAATCCGCCAATTGGGTATATACAGTGGTGTGAAAAAGTGTTGGCCCCCTTCCTGATTTCTTATTTTTTTGTCTGAAACATTAAAGTGTGACAAACATGCAAAAAAATAAGAAATCAGGAAGGGGGCCAACACTTTTTCACAACCCTGTATATATATATGTTTTTTTCTCTTTTAATTAAGTTTATCTTTCAACCCCATTTGCAGATATTTTGATACATTTTTTCACAAAACAAGACAATACCTTTGCTGCAAGTAAATGCATCTTCATGTAAAATGTAAATATTTCTACTGAAAAAAAAGACTACAATACTAAGAAAGGAAATAATTTTGCAGTGTAACCACTTATTTAAGACACTATCATATTTTCCCATTTCAAATTGTCTGGTTTCTATGCAAATTAGGCTCAATGTACAGTAGATTACACCTTATTTGTTTAAAACAGTCATTTGTGTATTTATTACAGATCATAGAAACAGTAATTTTTCAAATGACTATTTTATTTTTTAAATTTTTCAGGAAATTTTATACATATTTCAGGCTTGAAATCAGTCATTTTTTCTTATAAAGTAAATGTTAATTTAAGACTTTTTTGACACTTGTACTGGAAGACAAGAAAATGAAAATAAAATATTTATATAAAATATTTAATATAAATAGTACTGGTAATTTTCTTTGCATTAATTTTATGGACATTTCTGTTAACTTACAACTCAAAGCAGTAAAAAAATTCAAAATACAGGTAAAACAATCAATATGGAAAATATTAATGCAGTACATTACAGTAAAGTACATTTTTATGGATTTTAAGTGTGTGTTTTTTCAATGCACGCACTCCAAATGCGTTTAAAATTCCAGTTCACTTCCTGAATTTGAATAGAATCAAACAGGAAGCAGATACTAAGTTTTGTTTTCTGAAAAATGCATCAAAAGAAAAGAAAATGTATACTTAAAACAAGAAAAATAAAACTTGTTTTCCCTTTTAATTAAGATGATTTTTCTGACTATTAGCAGATTTTTTTTTCTTGTATTAAGCATAAACTCACTTTATTTTGACCAGTTTTTCAGAAAACAAGACTTAATATCTTGGGTAATTTTGCTACCTAAGTAAATGTATCCTGATTTAAGAATAATTTTTTTGCAGTGTACAGTAAGTATCACACACATTTCACTGTAGTTGATATGATATTTCTCTTTGACTGTAACTGAACGTCTCTGTGATTGCAGCTTATTCAGTTTGGAAAGACAAATGTTGACTGTCATGCAGCATTAAATGGCCGATTATTGCACAACGTGTGTGTATGCGTGTGTATTTATGAGTCGGTCCAAAAGCAAAAATGCACTTTACGGGCTCAAGTTGTTCTGA